CACCTCTCGTGAGATCTGTAGGAAGTATCAGCAAGAGGCAAGTAGGAGCAGTTGGTGTGTAAGCATTGGTGCTTCCCAGATGACTTGCAGGTACATCACCGCAATTATGACCCCAAACACTTAGGCAGATGAGTAAGTGTATGGACATGAACTGGCTCATCAGTAATGCTTATACACCTGAGTCATCCCACTGGGTACTGGGACAGAGTTCTCTGTTCATGGTTTGCATTAAAATCCATGTTCCAGAGACTGTTCAAAACTGACCCTTTTGCTTCTAACCATATTGACTGTTTTCTGGGCTTTCTAGTAAACACATTAGCATGGTCTGGATATTTTTTAATTTGCGTATTAGTTGTTAAACACATTTGACTAATTTTACAAAGATGAAATCTGTAAGAGCTTATTAACTTCAAGATCCTTCTCTCTGTTTCCCATTTCTTATATTTACTTATTTTTGTTTGTCAAGTTGCAGAGCAGTAGTGTTTATTAATATTGTCAATTAAATGTCATCTTGCCTTCAGCATGCTTTAGCGTAGTTAAAACCAGAAGCGATTGCTCCTGTACCACGTTCTTTCTGGTAGGTATTTTCCTGTGTGGGTGTGAAATTGTGCAAACCTGAATGGTAGCATTTCACACAGGTGCACATGACCCTGCCAGATGCAACGCAGTAGAGAATTCAGCTGGCTCCTATCCAAAAGTGGTTGTGTTACGATTTACATCAGGGTTGAAACTTACCTTTTAAAGCATTTAATTTTGCACTAGCATGTGCTAAACTCTTTTCACTTGGCATATGCATCTTTAAAAAAGTTGTATCTCCTCTTTAACTGACTCTGAGTGCAGTATAAGAAGCAGTTGTATGTCAGTGAAACAACATAATTTAGAGTACTGAGTCGTAGCTGAACGCGGAGATGTTTGCAATACATAGGATTATTCCTGAGTTTTATGTAGTAGCTGAAGTAGTTTTTAAGCTTGGGGAAACACTATTTACAGATACTGAATTGCACTGTTACTGGGGAATTATTTAATTATGATTGTAAAAATTGTTAGTCCCTGTGCAGAGATGTCATAATTTCCAGGACTTTAACAAGGAGTTAAAATTAAACCTTGTTCTTGAAGTAGCAAATTATCAGAGTATACGAAAGGAAATTAGATAACAGATGGACTATAAGATTAATGAGCCAATCGTAACTTCCTGATGAGTTTGTTACCATTTGATCATGTGTCTCATGCATTCCTTAACTTGAGCTCTTTTGCCTGTATCCTTTCCTATGATTATTTTCTTTCCTATGATTATTTTCTTTCCTAGAGCAAAAATAATTGTTTTTTACCTGTGTTTATATGCAATTGTATTTATTGGACAGTAAATTGAAGAGTTAAAGGAGAATGCAGCTTCTTCCCCAGAGCATCATGACCGTAGCAGACAGCCAGGGTGCTGCAGGTCAAATATGATATGGTTTCTTCTTGTTTTGACTCCTGCTTCACTACAGAGCGTTCTCCAGGTGGGCAAAACTTGCGTCAGGAAGCCAAAAATACTTCATAGCACTTGACAGAGGATTTTGTGATGCGGTATTTTGTGTCAGCATCAGCCTGTGGCCACCTGTAGAGATGGATGGTGGCTTGTGGAGCGGCAGTAAATGGTGTCTCCTTCCACAGGTCAGTGGCAGGCTGAGATAAAAAGCAATAGCAATCTGTCAGTATGATTTCTGTTTCCATGCACGTCGCAGCAATGTACATGGTGCAGATCTCTGATCTATGTGAAAGTCACACTGCATGTTAATTGCAAACTAGGCTTGAGTAAACTAAGCTCCTTCCCTATTTCTTGATATATTTTAAGTTGTTTCTTGTAATTATTATATATTTTTATATATATATATATACTGATACACAGCTGTTATGTTGAATGGGAATAGGGGAGAGAAATGCCCACAGCAGAAGGTAAGATAGTTTTTGAAAGCCACCAGAATTTCAGCTTCTGTTTCTTTCCTTTAGTGTACATCTGTCCTTTGGCCCTATGAACGAACCCTTCAAAATGCCAGCAGAGTCCCGTGTGCCAAGGCTACCTGAGAGTGTCCTGCAGCCTAAAGCAAAGGCTGTACTAAATAAATAAAGGAAAAATTGTTACTACTTGTCAGGTATTAAATAATCATGGGGTGCGTGATGCTAATAACAGTTTTACTGATCAAGGCAGATGAGAACGAGTAGAGATGACTGTGTCACGAAGAGCTGCATGCTTGCTGCCCTGTTTTAGCATCAGAAGTTGAGCTAGTTAGGAGTCCTATTTCTTGCTTATACATGAGCTGCTTTGCAATAAATGGCCTGTCTGGCAACTGTGAGTATCCTTGGAGAACATAGGCATTTTGCTTG